AGTTTTGATCCTATACATGCTTCATACCGACTTGCCCCACCTAAGGCAAAGGATTAAACTGTGAGCCTAAGCACATCTGCCCACCCCTGGCTGGTTTTCTCCAGTAGCTGCAGTAACAGAAAGCTAGTACATCTGACAGTCCATCCCTGATACTCTGCCTTTTATATCTATGTGTGCTGAGGAACAGGCAGAGGGACAGGGGAAGTTTCGGTGGAGTCAAGTTTTAAATATTTGGGGAGATTTATCAGTTATCACAAAACCGCCAGAGGCTAGAAGACTAGAGGCTTGCAGGTTAATAAAGACCAGATGTGATTGGGGAAGACCCCCTGAAAATCCTGGCTGCGGACATAAAGTAATAAACCTAGAAAAGCCTCAAGACAGGTGACATATATTTTACCTGCTCAAACAGAAAACAAAAGAACATTTTTGGCTGGCTTGTGTACAGCACATAATCCATATTGTATTAATACAGATATGTATATTACCCTTGAAAGTTTATGTGTTTTCAGAACAAAGGGTTGAGACACTGATGAAAAAGTGTGGCCCAGGTGATCCAGCTTCTCAGAATTCCTCTATTGTGAGAAGTATGCAACCAGAACAGCCTCAAGGCTGCTTCCTAAGCTCTTCCAGTCTCATGGACTATTTTAGTCAGGACTTGATCATTATCCTAATTTTCTCACAGTTTCCCAAAGATGCTAGATCTCCCAGATGACAGGAATCAGCTGAGAGAACACAATGTCCACATTCCCAAGAGATGTGGTGGGTGGTTTTTGGTTGTTCAATGAGTAATGAACGCTTGTCATAATTTAGGAGAGTTGGTTACAGATTGTTATTGGTAATAGTCAGGAAAAAATCTGAACAAGGGAGATTAGGTTCAGGAAACTTGAAAGAAAAATGGAGGGCTATAGAAATGATAAGATAAAAGAGCAGATTATTGAATCTACTTTTAAGCTAAAAACGCGGATACTAGTCTTAAATATTTTGCATTGTTGTAGATTTTTGTATATTGATACAAATTTAAGCTTATTTTTGATACAGTATAACAAAAATAAGCTTAAGTTTGTATATATGTAAGTATATATTTATATGTTTCTACTTATACACGTTATATATATATATGTTTCTACTCTTTTTAAAATATTTTTGTATATTGATACATATTTCAGATTATTTTTGTTAGAACATACTGTACACATGTTCTTAGTCTTGTTTATGTTATTTTAGCTATGCAGTTCATTTAGCAATGGAATGTAAATTTCTAGTCCTTGAAAGTTACTATTACAAACTGTTTAAAATAATTAAGAAATGTAGGTTAGTAGTTAGGCCTTTATAATAATCAAACTTGTTGTATATTAGGTATGTTTTCAAAGTCAAACAGATATATTTTAGATAAATAGGTGGTCTTCAAACACTTTCCAAGATCTATAGACTATGGCATTGAAGATGTTTTAATAACATAAGGCTTTCATGGCAATGAGACATGTCTGCTCCTAACAGCACCAATCTACTTCAAAGAAGATGATGGGCATCAAAGAACCTCCATATGGAGGTTGCTTTCTTTGTGGGAAAAGTTAGTTACTGGGTAAGAAACTGTTCTTGCCTTGACTGCTAACAGTATGCTGTACTAATTGAATAAGCAGGACACAAAAGAAAGAGATTGTCAAACTTTTCCAAGACAAGTTAGAACAGTCCTTCAAAATCCCTGCTTCATAAAAATGTCTGCAAAACATTCTACAGGACACACAATAAGTGACGAATTTTCCCAAACAAGTCAGAACAGACCTTCAAAATTCCTGCTTCATAGAAAAGTCTGCCAGATTTGCTGCAGGATACAAAGAAAAGTGACTGCTAAACTTTGCCAAAACAAGGTAGGACAGTCCTTCAAAATTCCTAATTCATAAAAATGTCTGTCAGATATTCTAGGCCTGTAGGCCAAAGATGGATGCCCAAATATCGCAGAGGAATCATGTGTGACTGTCCAGGCAGCCAGCTGTTTCTGTCATTTCTTTTAGTTTTGGAATTTGCTCTACACTTTCTGTTTATTCAGGTAATGCTATAGCCTTCTGGGGTCTTTGAGGGAATTGAAGAATAGGTATAGTAGTTTTTTTTTTGTTTTTTTTTTTTTTTTAGTTTTGATAGAAGGTAAACTAGGTATAGAACTTTGGACTCACCAAGATAGAATAAATAATAGAGTATTTTCTTCAAATTTGCCAAAACAAATGGACTGAACATTGTAAACTTAATTCTTATCTGATAATTACTCTTATTGTATAGTTTTACTGTGTTAGATTTAAAAACCTTTCCTTATTATTTAAATGTGGAAATGTTGTAGAATAATCTTTTTGTACAATATAAAGAAATGTCACTTGGATTGATTTAATAAAAAGCTTAATGTCCAATAGCTAGGCAGGATTTTGGGGGCCGAAAGGATCTGGGAAAGACAGGTGGAGTCGCCATCTGATACAAAGGGAACAGACATGTGACAAAAGAGGTAAAAGCCATGAGTCAAGAAACAACACACAGATGAATAAAAATGGGTTCATTTTAGTTATAAGAGCTAATTAGAAATAAACCTGAACTATTAGCCAAGCTTTTGTAATTAATGAGAAGTCTCCATGCCTTTTATGTGGGAGCTGGCTGGTGAGAAAGAGAAAGATTAGCAGTGTGTGTGTGTGTGTGTGTGTGTGTGTGTGTGTAGGGTGTGTGTTGACTTCAGATGACAATGTGTAGGAGAAAGACAGGTTCTGTCCTTCCATGATGAGGGTCCTAGGGATCTAAGTCTGTCAGGCTTGGTGACATGCTTGGTGACATGCTTGGGGACACTTACATAACTCTTTGAGTCATGTCAGTGGTCTAAGATTTTTAAGAATATGAATTTTGTTTCTTTTAGAAAGTGAGCTCTGACCCTGTTGAATGTAGATTTTTGCAGGGCAGCTCATTGGAACCTGAGAACCGACCTCTGCCTTCAGCTCTTGTGGGTGCTTTGTGTTTCTTGGGATGTGTGAGTTCTTACCCATGTCTGATTACTCCCGGCCCTAACCCATGAGCGCACAGATGCATTTGGGTCTAGGTATGTAGGCATTTGGGTTTCTCATCTCCTTGGGGGAAGAAGAGTCACTCCCTCTTCTAGAAAGGCATGGAATTACCCAAGAACAAAACTAATGGACAAAACAAAAGAGAAATTAGATCTGCTAATCTTGTCCTGCTTCCATCTGGCCTAATGGCTAGTTTACCACCCCACAGGTGTGGGGTATTTACTCAGCATGGTTCTTCGTTCCTGTGGTCCATAACACACATGCCTTTCAGGCCTTAGAGCCTGAGTGTGCAGTGTCACGAGCTGGCACAACTATGTTGATAATGTGTTGCTCTGTGAAGTGACTTTCCCATCATGGGTCAGCTTCTCATCCATTTCTATGTTTTATAGAAAGATGTGAGTCATGGAATTGTTATCAGTGGAGTTGCTGATCAGCGTGTGTACAACCTTGTGAATCTTTTAAGATATCCACACGTGAACTCACTGTTCATATACAGACTTGCTTCAAAACCCCCGAAAGCCAATGATATGAGTGAGGAGAATGCTTTGTGTAATTACTGCCAGAGAAGCGGGTTAAAAACAATTACCTGCAGCAATGCTGCTCGTCAGCTTCCTTGGGTATTTGCTTCTATGGTTATTGTCTAAACCTGTGTTGCTCTTCAAAAGTTTAACTTGTTAGACTCACAAAGTTCTTTCTTCACCTTCCCAATATTCTTTTAAAAGCTTGGACAGCTAGTCCTGATGGTGCCACGTGCACTCGAGCTCCTTAGGAGGCTAAACAGGTTCAAGGCTGTGAAACTTAGCAAGACACTGTCCTCAAACAAAACAAACAAAAAACAACCGAGAAAGTGTGAAGCTGTTGTTCAGCGGCAGAACACTCATGCAGTATTTGTGAAGCACCAGGTTCAGACACAAAATCTGTTCAATTAAAACCTAGGTGTGAGCAGGAAGTGTTTTCCTACACACACACAAAAACAAAACAAAACAAAAAAAACTGTCTTTAAGTAGAGCTTGTAAATATCATGCCCACTTTCAGACCCCCTTACTTTTGTGTATTGGTAATTGACAAGCCCCAAGAACAGTATCTTATCTATAGCTTCTCTATCGTGATGTCGCGTGAACTGGACTGATTTCAGATTAATTACGTGTCTTATGAGTGAAGTAGGATTAGGGTGTTTGACTTTCAGGGGGTCAAAAACCCATTTCACATAAAAGGAGTAATTAATACGTGGAGGAGTATTTATTACCTTTTACAAATAGCTAAGTAAAGCTTTTTATTTTTAGAGAAACCAAACCATCTTTTTGCCTGGTTAAGAGAAATCCCGAGAACTAGTACGACCATCCTCATTTTAGAAATTTAAAATAATAATAATAATGATAATAATAATAATAATAATAATAATAATAATAATAATAATGCGCTGAGGTGACTGGTGCAAGGCTGGGAACGGGGTCTTGAGGCAATCCTGGCTTCCAGTGCATGCGCCACTTTAAGGCTCTGCTGCCCCCTTTAAAATTGATGAAGACCTGCAGCAAGCCTCCAGAAGGAAGGACAGCCTTTGAATGAAGAGTTTTGAGGGGTGAAGTTGAAGCAACCCCTTCCTAGCCCTCCCAGCATTGGTGACTGGAAGTCCAGTATGTCATATTTTACTCCTACGCGGGAGTTTGGGCAGGCTCCAGATCAGAGGAACCTTCCCGGGGACTCGCACTCCGCGCTCCTGGTGAAAGATCCAAGGGCGAAGAATTTTGAAATCAACTAACTGGACAAAGAAAGACTGTTTTATTGAAGACCCTCTGCCATCCTCTGCTTCTCTTCTGAGAGACAGCTTTAGCCGCTGACCTCGGAGACAGAATCCGCACGATTCCATCAACACCTGTTAAGGGCTTGCTGCTCCGGGGCCACTAGGCTCTGGACTTGGTTTACGGTCCCGCGACCCCCATTTACCGCAGCTCCTGCACCCGCTCTGGCAGAGCGTGCTGGCTGTTTGTCCTTGGGATCCAGCTCCTGCAAGGGATCGGCTCTCAGCTTTCCCTCCTACACCGCGAAACTCAGCAGCCCAGAGTTGGATTTCCCGGGGTGTGGAGGTAGGTGCCGAGCGTCTCTCCAGATTGACTCCTGTAAGCTTATTTGTCTGTCCCTTGTTCAGGAGCGGGGACCGCAGCTCCCTCCTCGCAGCGGGGGCTCCCTCCTGCCTCTGACTTTCCTCTGCAGATGTGATGAACTCCTAAGAGGAGTGAGGGTAGCTGCGGCTGGGAGTGGTGGCCACGTGCGATGGGGAGCTGTGCTGCCTAGGGTAGGGTGCAGATGCGCGCGGGTTACAGGGGGTGGCGGACCTTCTCCCCGCGTCCCTGGCCACGGGAACTTATCCGGCTCACTCCCCCCTGCAAGGCCATCGCTCCGCTACCCCGGTACCTGTATCCTTTCCTTTCAGGGCAGGGTTCGCCTCCACCTCCATCTCCGACCCTCCTCTCTCCCCGCCCCTTCTACCCCCTGGCTCTGCACCTCGCAGTGCGGGGTCCCAGATTGAGTGGCCACGGAGGTCCAGGGATAAGCTCGGCAGCTACAGCATTGTAGTGGCTCACTCAGCCGGCCGCTCCCGTTCCTGCTTGCCTGCTCACGCTGTCCCACACAGAACCGGACCTGCTTTGGGAGCCTCCCAGGGCCATCAACCGGTTGGCTGCACACTACTGGCTTCCTCCTTCCTCAGCTCAGCTGAACCGCAAGGGCCGGCGCAGTAAGTTCAATCTGCAGTTCTTCTGAGATCTCGAAGGGGTCCTGTCCAGGGAACGGGGCATAGTGCTTCTAAGAAGAGCCTCTCAGCCCTCTCCGACTTTAGGCGGAACACGGATTCTAGAGGGGTTAGGACCACTCTTGTTTTCTTCTTTTGCTAGACTTTTTCTTTTATACTGAAGGTTCTTGAATGTTCCTTGACCAAACACTATGGTCTGAGTCAGTAAGATAGGATTCTGCTGCTTCTTTAAAAAACAAAAATCAAGGACCTTCTAAAGAGCAAGGTCATGTTGGGTTTTCCAAACCTGTTCAAAAGGAGACATTTAATTAGGCTTCCATTCATTTCCATTGGATGGGATCAACCATTAGGAGAAACCTATGGTGGTGTGGCAGGGGGTGACACGAACATTTGAATACCTTTCTTAGTCGGGACCAGTCATTACGATGTCAGGGGTGAGCAGGAGACAGCCCTGCTGTCATAGAAAGGAAGAGCAGACACAGGAAAGAGAAGCCTTCAGACGTTCATACGATGCGTCAGCCCGTGCATGTAGCGTGGTTGAAGTCCCATCTCCCCTCACAGAAGGGCTAGCAGGTGTGTAGCATAGTGTTTGGGGTTCTTCCCTGGGAAAACATCCCTGGAAGAGGTGCTTGATAGGATGCGAGGCTTTGCTCACCTGGAGTGATTCTGTTGCAGAAATAACTTGCAAACCCACAGATTTCAACACGTAGTCAAAGCATGAGTAGTTAGTTCTCTGACTCATTAAAGCACCTTGAGCCTCAGAAGAAGAAAAAAAAATCATTTCCTCTTCTAAGGAATTGGCTTAGGGTGCACCTGTTCAAGAAGACAGCACTAGCTAGTCTTGAATAACTCGAATGCTTCATTTTGCCTCATTTCAAGGAAAGGCTCTTCCGCTGTCTGCTTCTAGCTGGAGGCAGGAGCATCGCACGTGGCGTTCTCCTCTTGTGCTCTTTTCTCTTCTCCTTTTCCAGAAGCGCTGTTGTGAATGATAGATCCTGTGTTCAGGTAGCACTCCTCCAAGCCCAAGGCGAGTACTGTGCCTTAGCACAGCTCGTAGTGTCCACATGCTAATAGCTTGTCGATCGATAGCCATTCCTGCAGAGGAGCTATAAATAAAGGGACTTCGGAGTGAAGAAAATAGGGCTGAAAAGAAGGAAAGAGCCAATAAATCCAATACGCTCCTCTTGCTGGTGCCTTTAAACCTGGTGTCTACACTCAGTTCCACCTGTACGAGCCTCAAACTGCAAGTCTTGGAGTACTGCTCACCTCCTCTTGATATGTGGGGTCTGGGTCTCTGCCCTCTACAGAGTCAGGCTCTTAGTCCGAGGGAAACGGTACAGTCTATCAAACAGGCCATGGTTTCAATGCCGTGTTTCCAGAATTAATAGTGGGTCTGCTATCCTTGGAATGTTCTGTTTGAAATGTATGTTGACCTAGGTAGAAAGCACCAGCATAGCAAACACAAGTACACAGAAAGCTTCCAGTAACATAGGAGGGGGACGTGTGTGTGTGAGTGAGTGTGTGTGTGTGTGTGTGTGTGTGTGTTTGTGTGTGTGTGTGTAGTAGTAGTAGTAGTAGTAGTAGTAGTAGGGGAAGAGAGAAATAGATATAAGCACTTGGGAAAAGTTGCTGAGTGGATTATACTGACAGCCCATTTAAAAGGTTGTAATCAAGAACTGAATTAAGAGGGTCTTAGGCCAGACTTCTTACAGAAGCAAGTACCTGATTAAGAACAAGAAACCACATATGAAGCTTCTGTGACCCAGAATAAATCCTGTGTCATTATGTTCAGTAAAGAACAGGACTGAAACTGTATTTTGTATTAAGCAGGTGGTACTAGTTATTAGTAAAATTGTATTCTTGTTTATATTTCTATTGGTTTTGTTAATTACTGAGTGTCTTTAATGTACTAGGTGGTGCAACTCAAGATTAAACAATAGATGACGAAGTTTCAGGTTTAGTCTTCAAAGACATTGCTGTCCTAGGTTGGACCAACTGTAGCAGTCACAATGTGGCCTGTGTTGTGGGCGGGAGAATGAGCCTTTTGGTTAACCAGGTTCACCACAGGGAGGGCAGAGAGGCATGGGGAAGCCTGGGGTGTTCTAGATTTCGTAGCCATTTAGTGTGAGAGAGCAGCAGATGTCTGTTGGGATGTCCAGAGAGCTCAGGGCTCTGCAATGACACCGTCCAGCCTTGAATGTCATACTAAAGAGCTGAGTCTTGTTTTAATGGGAGAACAAATTAAAGCATGCTTTGAGCTGATCATGAAACAAACAAAGAAAAAAATCCATCCAGGGATGTAGAAGAGAAGAATCTGCAGAGATTTGGTTATGTAAGTGTTGGAAGATGAACACTGAAAGTCTGGGGATTGCAAGAACAGTGCCTTCTACTGCCTTAAACCGAAGGGACACAGAGAAGAGGCAGTGTGAGCAAGACCGAAGAAACAGGCCCCCACAGGAAACAGTCTCACTGGGTCTACACTGTGGAAAACAGGGCCGTAGAAGAGCTGCTGAGGCGCTACCCAGAACACAGAGGGAGGAAGGAGCAAGGGTCGTTGTCTTCCTTCCTCCTGCTTTTTATTCATGCAGTTTTCTTTTTAAAACTACTTATGTGTGCATATGACAGATATGTTTAGGGTATGTGTACATGATGAGTGTAAGGTACGTATTATGTGTGTATATGTTTATGTGTATATGTATGTTTGTATGTATAAGTGTGCATGAGTGCAGGTGTGGTGTGTGTGTAGGGTTTGTACATGTGTATAGGGTGTGTGTGGATGATGTGTATGTATGTATGCATATGTGTGTGTGTGTGCATCGGTGAAGGTCCTCACTTTCCACCTTGACTCTTTTTGAGACAGGGTCTCTTGTTCACAACTACACCCACCAGGATTCCTGCCCCACAAGCTTCTGGGAATTCTCCTGTCTCCATCTCCCATCTTGCAAAAGAACTGGCATTATTGATGTGCCCTAAGCAGCCAACTCTAATGGGCTCTCTTCATAGCTCCACACTTGCGTGGCAAGCTCTTGATTCACTGAGCCAGCTCTGCTCATGCCTCCTGCTTTAATTACTCGTGAGTTCCTCCCACTGATTCAACCCAACCAGGATCCTGATAACTTGTGGTTCAGTCTTACAGAATGAGACAGAGGCAGAGAAGATGGGAAGAGGAGTGGAAACACACAGGGCCAGCAAACATTGTTTGTGAGCTCAGTAAACAGGATTCATCTACCAATAGTAGGAGATTATGTTGTTAAGATTAATAAAAAAATTCAGTAAAAGGTCTTCGGAGTTAATAGTGGAGGCCTTTTGTGATTGTGTGTATATTCATAAGTATTACCACTGAGGTATGGTTTCTGAGTGTTTTTATACACTTAACAATGAATTTATAGTAAAGCCAGAGTGTTATTTTAAGCAATCTAGTGGAAGTATTACCCTCTGTCTTAACACCCAGCAGGATACGGGTTTGCAAGGGCTTGTTGAATGCATGTCTTGTAAATGTCAGAATCAGCATGGTGAATTGGGCATGATTTTACCTGTTAAGTTCATGAATCAATGAATGAAAGCAGCCAGAAAAATAGAAGGAAAATTAGAAATAAGATGCATGGCTATAAGGATAATTACAGTTAGAAACTGGACCAAACTAAACGGGTGCGGTAGACATGGTGATAGCGGATGTGTGGGAGAGAGAGGTAGAGACCAGACGGGGGCATCTTTAAAGCATGACGGGGGTCTCAAGGAGACAAGGAAACCTGGAATTCTTATCTCAGTTTTAACCCTGAAGGTTTAATTAATTAATGTATTGAGTGCAGCAGATCACACAGGCAGGGGAATTGGGGTGTAGGGTAGGAGGGAAAGAAAGGTTCCCCAAACTTCTCTACATAGAAGTGTCAGGGGTCAGACTGGGTGTATTTTTGATGCAGTACTTTTGGAGGATGCTGCTCTATGCTGTGTGGGGTGTTTCTTTCAGACCCCGAGACCAAACAACAGATCTGCACAGAGTTCCATTTTAAACACCAGGTGGCCCAGAAAAAAAAAGAACCCAAACACACTGTGCTTTTCATAATGCACTGGGGAGGGGGAAGAAGTAGGACCTGCAGGTCTCCTTGGTCAGAAGGACGAGCCTAGTTGGCGAATTCCAGGCCAGTAAGAAGTCCTTTCTCAAAAAAACATGGATGGCACCAGAGAAACGATACCTGGATGAATTCTTACCCAAGGGGCAGAGACGAAGAACATTTACAAGTATCTTCATTTTCCTCCATCCCCACACACATATGAGGGGCGGGAACATATGCACAGGTGAAGGAAAAGGTGGCTATGTAGGGGTCCACTCTTTTCGCCTCATTTTATTTTCCCAAAGTTCAGGCACTCAGCACAGGGAAATCTTCTGTCCCTTTTCTATCCCGTGTACTGGTGTATACTTGTCAGTTTCAAACAGCTAAGGCGGTGAGACTTTCCTCCACGTTAATTTGTCAACTTCATAGCAATTGTGAAATTGATAAATTTTATTGCATCCATTTTGCACGAAAATGGAATCTGTTTGCTTTTGCTCCTTGTGGAATTGGTTCCCTCCTATAGAAAAATCCGTTCTTACCATGACCGTAGTTATTTAAGACCTAATTCCACCAACCCATGGTTGTGAACAGACTCATGTAGAGGGCTTTATCGAACTGTTCCATGGTCTGCAGTGTTAGGGTCAGACCACAGTTTTCTTTTTTCTGTTTTTCCCTTTTTATTTTTTATTATTTTTGTTGAAAAAATTCTGCCTCCCATTTCCCTCCCCTCCTCCCACTCCTCTCCCCCTCCCCCAACTCCTCTCTCCCTCCCCCACTCCTCTCCCCCTCTCTCCACTCCTCTCCCCCTCTCCCCACTCCATTTCCCCTCCCTCTGGAGTCTGAAGAGCAGTCCGGATTCCCTGCCCTGTGGGAAGTCCAAGGTCCTCCCCCCTCCATCCAGGTCCAGGAAGGTGAGCATCCAAACAGGCTAGGCTCCCACAAAGCCAGTTCATGCCATTGTCCTTGGTTTCTCATCAGCCCTCATTGTCCTCCATGTTCAGAGAGTCTGGTTTTATCCCATGCCTATTCAGTCCCAGTCCAGCTGGCCTTGGTGAGCTCCCAATAGATCAGCTCCACTGTCACAGTGGGTGGGTGCACCCCTGGCAGTCCTGACTTCCTTGCTCATGTTCTCCCTCCTTCTGCTCCTCATTTGGACCTTGGGAGCACAGTTTTCTCGAGGAGCTCAGCCTCTGGGATGGCTGTCTGATTCACTCATGGTTTGCTACTCTGTTTTTATTGTAGATTCTTGTGTTATTGGGAGGCCAAGAGAGACGGAAGTGGTGCTGAAGATGGGCCCCGTAGGCGCAGAGGCCGAGGAGAACCAGACCGTAGAAGCAAAGGTGGAGTCCTATGGGCCAGGGCACACCACTCCTAGAGGTGAGCTGCCCCCTGATCCCGAGCCGGAGCTCATAGACAGCACCAAGCTGGTTGAGGTACAGGTGGTCCTCATATTGGCCTATTGCTCCATCATCTTGCTGGGCGTAATTGGCAACTCCCTGGTCATCCACGTGGTGATCAAATTCAAGACGATGCGCACGGTGACCAACTTTTTCATCGCCAATCTGGCTGTGGCAGATCTTTTGGTGAATACCCTTTGCCTGCCGTTCACTCTGACCTATACCCTGATGGGAGAGTGGAAAATGGGTCCAGTTCTCTGCCACCTGGTGCCCTACGCTCAGGGTCTGGCAGTGCAAGTGTCCACGATAACTTTGACAGTCATTGCCCTCGACCGCCACCGCTGCATTGTGTACCATCTGGAGAGTAAGATCTCCAAGCGAATCAGCTTCCTGATTATTGGTCTGGCCTGGGGCATCAGCGCCCTGCTGGCGAGTCCCCTGGCCATCTTCCGGGAGTACTCACTAATTGAGATCATTCCCGACTTTGAGATTGTGGCATGTACTGAGAAGTGGCCTGGGGAGGAGAAGAGTGTCTACGGCACGGTCTACAGTCTTTCCACCTTACTGATCCTGTACGTTCTGCCTCTGGGCATCATATCTTTCTCCTACGCCCGTATCTGGAGTAAGCTGAAGAACCATGTCAGCCCGGGAGCTGCAAGTGACCATTACCATCAGCGAAGGCACAAAACAACCAAAATGCTGGTGTGTGTGGTTGTGGTGTTTGCCGTCAGCTGGCTGCCGCTCCACGCCTTCCAACTTGCTGTGGACATCGACAGCCACGTCCTGGACCTGAAGGAGTACAAACTCATCTTCACGGTGTTCCACATTATCGCCATGTGCTCCACCTTTGCCAACCCTCTTCTCTACGGCTGGATGAACAGCAACTACAGAAAGGCGTTCCTCTCCACCTTCCGGTGTGAGCAGAGGCTGGACGCCATCCACTCGGAGGTGTCAATGACCTTCAAGGCTAAAAAGAACCTGCAAGTCAAAAAGAATAATGGCCCCACTGACTCTTTTTCGGAGGCCACCAATGTCTAAGGAGACAGGCACGGAAGCGCATGGAAGCATTGTGACCAGAGCTGGGGATCCGGTTGCGGGAAGGTTTTCTGACCAGTGCATGCCGACCTCCCATAATACTGACTAAAAAGCGTGGGCAGTCTCGTTCCTGGAAACCTGGCTGGCAGAGCTGAGGTGAAAATGGCTTGATGACCGCCCCTTAGGTGGTAGGGGTGGAATGGTGGTGAGTAAAATGGAAAAACTTTCTGCTGTTTTTCCAGAGTAAAGGAAACCTAAACAAGGACGTGGTGCCAGTCTGGCTGAAAAGACGAGGTAGGTGTTAATCCTGAGAGCACAGGAGGATCTGCGCTGGGGATGCTGCAGACTGCACTGCTCCCTCATCACTTGGTGAAAAGCTGCTGAAGAAACTCAGATTTCCATGGGGAGCCATAGGCTCTCTGCTAAGGTGTTTCGGTTTTATTGTCCTTCCAAAGATGAAACCCAAATGAGAACTGGTATAGGCGAACAAGGCTCGTAACTACGGGGATGACTTCAAGGTAACTTCCAGCGAATGAGCAAATTTGCTATGCGATTAATATTTTGGCAACGATGGGGAAATCCTTATATACTCAGAGAGCAATTAGCTATGATTAAAATCAAATGTACAAGTGTTGAAAGATTTTTTTTTAAATACAGGATCAAAATGTGAAGTTATTAGATTTAAAAGAAATGTAAACTGTTGTTTGATCTCTTGTTTTGAGCGTCCCCTGCTTTATGTAGCTACTGTTCAGATAGCAGGCCTGCAACGCAGTCCTTTTGCTCATTGCCGGTTGCTAAGTCCTTTGGACCTGCACAACTCCTGTTTACCGTTCCCCAAGGGGAGCAAAGGTTTCACTAAAAATTAAATCCGACTGGGAAATGATTTTGAAACAGTTTGAGTTTAGTTGTAAGCAATTCCTCTCCCCACACATCGCTCTAATATTTTTACAGACACTGCCGAATTATGTTCTTTGGAGTGCATCCTCAACAGACCTGTCTATGCTAAGTAAATACAATTTCATTAAAATGGACCCATTTGGTAAGAAATCTCAAAAAACTGAGTTCCTTCCACTTTGCAAATGTTTGGCTCAACAAATTTTCACATAAGTTTTCTATTTTCAAAATGAATGTATTTTGGGGTAACATAAATATGTATACAAAATTAAAGCATATCTATGAACAGTGAAACATTAGGAATGTTCATTTAATGCTTTTATAAATTTAGCTTTTATTTCAGTAGTACCCAACCAAAGATGATTAAGAATCTATTTTGTTCACATAGAAAAAGAAAATCAGAAAATGAGATGTTAACTAGCTGCACTTCTCTGGATGCTGGTTTCAATGTAGGTGTATTTTTGTAAATATGACAGCATTCGCGAGAATATTCCTCACATTTTAGGAATATTCAACATAGTCTTATACTTAGTTATGATATAAATGTTATATATAGATTTAAAATTCAGACAGTGGCTGTTATCAAATTCCTTTCAGGGTAGAAATAAAAGCTTGGTTTGGAAATGAACTGTGCTTGCGGAATGCGGAAAAGGGTGAAACAAAAGGACAAGTGTCTGTAAGGCAGACGGAGAGTCAATGACACGCACTGCCTTCTGAAGGGTCATGTAACTCTAAAACGGGGTTTGTCTGTTGAACTCTGCCCTGTCCTCTGCACACAAGCTTTACCTAATTCTTGCAGAAATACGATGTGAAAATGTTATTGTGGAGTTTCTATGCCCCTTGCAGAATTTGTACCCTGCATAAACCCTGTGTTCCTTTGACTCCTCCTGTGACAGTAAATTGCTGGAATCCACCTGATGATTCAACTGACATATTTATGATTGAGTTCATATGTTAAAATGTTTTAAAAAGTATCTTTTATGTAGTGATTTTAATGTTAAAATAAAAAGAATTCGGGAAATTGTGTAGACTTTCTATGTAGCTCTTCTACTTTTTGGCTGAAATCAAGTCCCTGGCTAACCTGTGAGCACACTGTGAGTGTCCTGTGAGTGTCCTGTGTGTGAGTGTCCTGTGTGTGAGTGTCCTGTGTGTGAGTGTCCTGTGTGTGAGTGTCCTGTGTGTGAGTGTCCTGTGTGTGAGTGTCCTGTGTGTGAGTGTCCTGTGTGTGAGTGTCCTGTGAGTGTGCTAGGAGTGAGTGTCCTGTGTGTGAGTGTCCTGTGTGTGAGTGTCCTGTGAGTGTCCTAGGAGTGAGTGTCCTGTGTGTGAGTGTCCTGTGAGTGTGCTAGGAATGAGTGTCCTGTGTGTGAGTGTTCTGTGAGTGTGCTAGGAGTGAGTGTCCTGTGTGTGAGTGTCCTGTGTGTGAGTGTCCTGTGTGTGAGTGTCCTGTGTGTGAGTGTCCTGTGTGTGAGTGTCCTGTGTGTGAGTGTCCTGTGAGTGTCCTGTGTGTGAGTGTCCTGTGTGTGAGTGTCCTGTGTGTGAGTGTCCTGTGAGTTTCCTGTGAGTGTCCTGTGTGTGTCTGTGAGTGAGCCCCTGCAAGAGTGTCTGTGAGTGAGCCCCTGCAAGAGTGTCTGTGAGTGCTGCCCAATGAGATTGTTTCACTTTGCGTTTTCAGGCCAGATCTTTCCCTTGAACCTCAAGCCTCCCTTCCCATTGGCTAATGAAAGCAGCTTGCATTGGTCCTATCGACAGACACCCAGTCAGTGCATCCCCAAAAGAACCTTCAAGGTAAGTGCAAGCATCCAGATCCCACGACTAGCTTGCCACCAATCTACTGAACACCTCTTCCCAAGACCTCACTCTTCAGAGTCAGCCCCAGCCTTCCTCTAGTCTAGCTCTGTGCTGTCAGTTCCTGCATTTACCATGACTCCTGCTTCTCCACCTCTCGGTCCTCATTGTCCCTGCCGTAACTGTTTTCAAGACCTGCATTATGTCTTACTTTATCTCTTATCTAGGTTAATAAAGTACACAGTGTTATTTCAGAAGTTCAGAGAGTGAAACAGCCACCCTGATCGGCATTACAGACGAGGCAGTGGTGACACACACCTTTAATCCCAGCAACCATGCTTGTTTGCCGTAGAAACAGGGTGGTAGTGACGCAGGCCTTTGACCCCAGAACTAGAGAGGTAGTTAAGACAGGAGGAGATGGCTCTCAGACACAGTCATTCTGAGATTCCTGGAGGAATAGCCATTTCAGACTGAGAGGTAATACGATCCAGTGCCTGGCTCTTTTGATTTTCTGACTTTCAGGTTGAAGCCCAATTTCTGTCTCTGGGTTTTTTATTAATCGTGCTGAAATAGTAATTTCCTATTTGTGTTCTCTGCATCTTGTCATTTTCTCATACAATCCAATATTGTGTATTTACCAGCTAGCCAAGACAGTTGCTTTTTTTTAGTTTTTAACTCAGATTTTATTAAGTCATTCTCTGATGAGAAGTCTTCAATTGAAACCTCATAAATTTACTTTAGGGATTTTATATCTTATTGAAAGCAATTTCAATGACTTGAAAGACTGTTTTGACATCCAGATTAAGATTCTCTATAGGAACAGAACCAGTGGAATCCTTATATGATTGGGATAGGGGATTTATTAGATTGCTTTCCATCACCTGAGGCTAGGCAGTCTTATGATAATCATCTGCAGAGTGGAGATCAAGGGAAGCCAGAAGCTGCTCAGGGTAAGAAACTGAAATCTCTGAGACAGGGGGACTGGTTGTTGTAGGAATCAACAGTTAGTCTGTTGTTGTTCATTTCTGGCTGCCCAGACCTGAAATAACCACTGAGAAACTATATTTTTTTGTAATACTGTTTGGCCAATAGCTTAAGCGTATTTCTGGCTAACTGTTATATTTTAACCCATTTCTATTAATCTGTGTATCGCCACGTGGCTGTGGCTTACTGCCAAGCTTCTGTCACCTCTCTCTGGTGGTAGCTATACAGCTTCTCCTTGACTCTGCCTACTCTCTCCTCCTTTATCTGCTTGGAGCTCCTGCCTTGCCCTGTTCTGCTAAGCCACTGGCCAAGACAGATTTATTCATTAACTAAGAAAAGCAACACATAGAAAGAAGGACTTCCCATATCAACAGCCCCAATGTGAGGCTGAAGGCTTAGCAGCTCTCTGGAGAGTCAGTGATACAATACCACGTCGGACAGCTGAGGGAGCTGGATTCTGAAGTCCTGGGTGATGGCAACAGCTGTAAATGAACTCATGGATATTGTGTATACTGGATAGCTTTCTCTTCTTCCATTTTTGTTTTGTCTGAACCTCTGGCCTCTTGGTTAGTGCTGCCCACATTCAACACAAGTCTCCCTTTAGTTGATCTTCTCTGAACACGCCCTCAAAGACACACTTAGGAAGTACTTTGCTGACCTCCCAGGCATCTCTCAATCTCTTCAAGCAGACAATCAAGATTCACATTTGCAGAATCTGATGATGTCTATTTGTTTTACCCCATGCAAATTCACTTTTCATCCGGCTGCTCAGTCTTAAGGACCCAAAGACAGGACAGGTGATGTCTTAATCATGTGGAATTGCAGTACTTGTAGTTGCTGTCATCAAATTGATAGTCAATAAATATTAATCAGATTCATCAAGTAAACTGGAGTGCTTTGGTATTTGTTTGAGACAAGGTCTCTTTCCTGTAGCCAGAGTGGCCTTGAATTTACTAAGGAGCTAAAGATGACACTGAGCTCCTGAGCCTCTTGCATTAACCTCTTACCTGCTGGGTTACATGTGTGTCCCGCTGAATCCTGCTTGAAGTTAAATTTTTGGAGTAAATATTCAAGCCAATATTCAAAGCTACATCCATGAGATAATAGAACATAACTTAGCTTGTTTGGTAACAGTCTGTCTAGGAGAGCAGGGTTTAGACTTCCTATCCAGGAGTCTAAGAAAGCTGTTTCCCAGTATAGGACAGCATCAGGGTTTATTATTTGTTTTATTTAATTGATAAATTGATGTTTTAACTGTGCATTAAGCCAGGTGCATTTCTCTTGATAGGAAAGTGCTATAATTTTTCAAGTCATCATATATCAATATTGACATATTTAGAAAAAATCATCTTGCACAGATTTTGTTCATAGCTCAGGCAAACCTGTTTGAAACTTCATCATCATGGGAAACTGGAAGATTCAATACAATATGGCAGTCATGATTCAGCAATCTAGAGAAGTCATTGTAAATACTGTAACTACGGAAAATAAAGGTCAGCAGAGCCGCTGGAGATACTGGAGAGGAAGGCCAGAAGTCTCTGCTAGCATTAAGGTAATCAGGAAGGGACTGTAATGTAAACATGCTATGTCTGCTACTGTAAGGCCTGTCCTGTGGACATAAGACAAACAAAAGGTGAAATAGGAAAAAAGACATGCAGGTGCTACCTGCAATACTAGAGTCTGATTTGGCAGAGAAATGGAAAGACTGAAGGATAAGATGGAGTTGTTGGCTTGTCATCTCTTACAGTCATATAAACCAGTTCGCATGAGCTATTAGAGGCTCTTGACTGTGACTGAATGAGAGCCCCGTTAATATCAGTGACCAACAGACAGCGGAGGAAGGACATATGTCCCTGAGGGACCTGAGCACAGAAGAGGCAATAGTTGGTGGCCAGCTCACTGGACTGTGCACACAGAAGAATGAAGAAAGAAATTAATTTGGGTCCATCAATTAAAGGACCTCTAGTCTGATGTGGGACGTTAATGGCTCTTCTGAGTCCCATAATGGGCTGTTCATAAGCTGGGAGGGGATGAGAAGACGAAGCAGAAAAGAGATCTGTCCACGTCCCTGGAAGGAAATGTGACACAATTTGTGCCCATCTGGACTTACTAAGTGGGGGGGGGGGGGCATGGGGAGGACAGGAAGCTAAATGCTGCACTACTGAAATTCAAAAAGGCTTTAAGCCCAAACAGTTTATAGAAGACACAAATGATTAAGAATGTAAATAAGCCGGGTGCTGGTGGTGCATACCTTTAATCCCAGTACTTGGGAGGCAGAGGCAGGCAGATCTCTGTGACTTCGAGGCCAGTGTGGTCTATAAGAACTAGTTCCAGGACAGACATCAAAGATACAGAGAAACCCTGTCTCAAAAAAAAAAATAAAAACCAAAATCTAACCAGAACAAAAATACAAATGACATCGATAAACTTTATTCTAGAGCTAAGTAGTTATTCCCCTAAAGTATGCAGTACACACCTTAATCCTATCCCAGAAGGTGAGCTGTAGATGGAGATTGCTTGCCAATATGGCCATGTTTGGCTGGTGCAATCTCAGGGATCACAGTGCTGGCCTAGAGTGTGTCAGATCTATCTGGCTCCAGAGGTGGACACAGTGGGCTATGGGATAGTGCTTGGATCTGAGACAAAACCAGCATTACCAGCAAACTCTAATAAGTCAATTGGCTAGGAGGAGACCCAGTGGCTCTGTGGCAGCAGCTGTAGCCCAGCATGGGAAGGCTAAATGACTAACACATGGGACTGGGTAGGGTAGCTTTTCTCAATAGTACAGTTGAAACCCAACATTGCTCCTCTTTTGTGTGTGGGGGAGGAAGGTGGTACAGGTATGTGTGTGTTTAGCTATGTATGTGTGCGTGCATGTCATGTGTGTGCATGCAGGTGGAAGACAGTCAACTGTAGGTGTCTTTCTTCAGGAGCCATCTACTTTCCTTTGGAGATAGTCTTTCATTGGGATGCGCAGCTTAGCAAATGGGCTAGGCTGGAAAACCAGCACTCCTTAGGAATCCTCTGGTATCTTCCTCCTCAGCTCTGGTATTAAAAGCACAGGCTCCATATCCAGCTTTTTATTTTTTATATGGATTTATGGAACGTGGGTCATCATGCTTGCCCTTTGCTGACTGAGTCATCGCTACATCTATAAATACTGCTTTTCTTTTCTTAATAGATTATTATTTTATGTGCATGAGTGTTTGCAAGCATGAATGTACATTTATCACGTGCATGTAC